GTTTTTTCATTTTCCCAGTTATCTCAAGTGGTATTCTGTAACAGTGAATTTCATCTAAAAATCAACACAAAATTCATTTTTCCATCTATCCCATTTGCCTAGTATTTTTTTGAAAAAACCTGAACCAAACGTGGTATTCTCCAATATCCACTTACACTTTCTCATCAATCCCAAAATAATCCTTCAACCAAACACTACCTTAGTGAACACTAAACTCCAACTGTGGAGGATCCTTTATTTTTCTTAAATATTTTATCTTATACTGTGCTGTACCTGTGGCTGTATAGAGTACATTCGGGTTTTTAGAACTCCCTTTCAAATATTACGTCGGGTTGGCTCAGGACAAAGTTGCAATGTTGTACACTAGATGAAATCATATACGTGCCATGAATCAAATGAATGGTACATTGTCATTTAGTAACCCCCAGGCCCCAACAAGATGATAATCACATAGACAGCGATAGATAGGAGCCTGTTTCATCTCTATATTATCATTAGAAAACAAACTTTGATCCTTTTTCTGTTGTCTACCGTAAAAGTAGTAGTTGAATCGAATTGACAACCAAAGCGATGACCATTTTTTTATAACCGATGTTAATTATTTTTTTTGAGGAGAATCAAATTTTTTAGTATATCTGTGATTTGACTTTTTGAGTTATATATGAGATTAATCTGAAATTCGACAGCCTAGTATAAGATTACTATATTTTTTACTCAGGATGTTCATCAACCGATCCAAATCGATTCAAACTGCGGTGACCGAACAGACAAACTGATAACCAAAAATCAAAAAACCAAAAATCGAAAAAAACCGCAAATTTTAATTAGATTTGATCGGTTTTCAGATTGCTTGATGAAAATCGATCCAATATATTAATTCTCCTCTACCCACTTGGATTTTTCCCCAATCATAGACCAAAAATTTCTAAATTCAAGACTCATTAACCCATCAACTAAATCCAAAAAAAAACCTAGTCACAACAAAATTTCATCTGTGTAGAGTTTCATATCTCATTGTCCAAAAAAAAAAAACATATTATCGTTTAATGATGCTTTTGTATTTCAATTTTTTTTTACAAAGCCAATATATACGAAAGATGTTATTTGCACAATAATCATGAAACAAATTTTAGAATTGTCAAAAAACCGAAAATCGATCCAATCCAAACCGAAAAAAATTGGATCGAATTGAATTTAAAAAAAAATATAAACCGAATGGATGATTACATGGTCAAACTGAAAAAATTAGATTGAATGATTTTTGTTTTCAAAACCGATACAGTACAGATCACGAACATTCCTACTCATTCTCCTCAATATGGCATCTGGTAGGACTCGAACCGAGAATCTTGTCTTCACCTTGCTAAATTCCTTGCAAGCAACTGAGCCGCCGGGTAAATAACGACCATTAATTAGAGACGAGAGATATTCATGCTTGTTTTATTGTTATTTTGGGGAAGAAAGTGTAATTTTGGTTTGATAAAATATAACGTCCCAAGAGCTCGTTCATTGAATAAATTAAATTCGCTCGTTCCGAGTTTGAAGGAGCTACTTTGACTAGTCTTGTTTGAGAATGAAAGCTGTGGGGGAGAGATGTATATTATCCTCGATCTTCCTTCACTTTTAATTTCCAATCCCGTCAAACATCTTTCGATTTAGGAAGTGGCCGTCCCTTTTTTTATTTTTTATTTTTCAAATGTTTTCCATTTAGTAGAAGAGAAATTAATCCCCTAAAATACAATCGTGAATCGAGTATTAAAGTATAGATTCTTCTCAATAATTTTTTTATAAATTATAAAATAAAACCTACAAATATATATGTTTCAAAAATTGACATTATTTTCCACTTATACCAACCCACGTTAATTTCGATAAGAGCTCAACTAAATAGTAAATAATTTTATTTTTATTGCATTGTTCACATAAATTTAAAAAATCAGGGAAGTATACATCATCCATGTTTCGCGTTGCCCTCAGTACTCTTCATAAAATAATATAAAATTAATTAAAGCTTATCATCAAGGTTGACTGAACTAGTAAATTTATTGATATTTTGTTTATTAATATTATTCGATTTTTTTATTAAGTTTGTGATATATTTCAACTTTAAAATACGATAATATTTTTTATTGCCTTAAAGTAGCAATAACCTATTTTTTTTTAATAAAAGTCGATATATTTTTTTTATTTTTAAAAAGTCGATATTTTGTTGGCGATAAAATTATCTTTTTGGAAATACTTCCTAAAAAAAAGATATTTTTCATATGATTTTTTTTATTTTTGAATGAATTTGTTGTTGGTTTCTACTCTAGTATGAATATGTTTCTCCCTTTATTTTTATTTTTACCAACTGAAAACTATTATATATGATCTGTTAGCACGAAAAACATAAAAAGGAAATAATATATTTCATACATTGAGGCACCACTAAAGAACAGAGCTCAGTATAGTTACTTAGAGCTAGCTACATGACATTTCACTTTTTCCGTAATACAAATTGAATGTTGCTCTAGTATATTGCATTTCGCTGTTTTCAATTCTCAAAAGACCCAGATCCCTCTCGTTGCGTATGCCGTTGGCAACAATGATACGTATTGATAATATATACTATGATCGAGTTGCACTCTATAATTCACAAATGTCATGCAAAAAGAGCCTTAGCTAACCTTGTATATACACTGATAATGATATATCTATTATTTAATATATAGATGATCATTAGCCAAGTTCTTAACTGCATATAAATCACTTTCATACAGTTACTGAACCAATAGGAACATATACTATACTTTTATTTACTTATAAACTTTGGAAAATATATTCTATGTATGTTTGATGTGGACCAAGATGCTCAGGAAGTATTGAAAAATCATGACTCCTTTTATCTTTAATTTCCTCTATTTTTTATGGGATGCAAAGCCAAGACTAGCTATGCCCCTTTACTAAAGGTGATTTTGACCATATTTGCACTTGTTAATTCATAAATGGGACATGCATTTACTTTGCCAATTATTGCAGCAATTTGTTGTCAAAAAAATATTTGCTGCAAGCAAATTTCTATAGAATGCTTATATATGAGCATTTTAGGTTGAGGAATTAAAACAAAAGTGCTTAAGAACAAAAGAGGTGTTTTTCCACTTTAACCTTTTAAATACGGGGTGGTGATGAGTAGGAGTATAAAGGAAAACTGTGCTATGTATTGGATGGAATCATGTGGGGTGAAGAATACAAAGAGTGCGTTGCCCCTACCATTTTTATAACCCTTTCCCGCCTTTTCTATTTTTCAAGATTCCCCATAACACTTCGCATAAGAATATATTTGGTAATTAATTGAGCAGTTTTACTCACACAATCAATGTACCGAAAAAAATATTGAATTAAATTGATTTAACATGTAAAATCAATTGTTAATTTTTATACATGGGCAACATTTGTAATATTTTTTTTAAGATTTTTTTTTCAATTGGTTTATTAATTATCTGACTAATTCAAATGGAGTATTTGTTTGATCAAAATAGGAGCTGACACTTTCAAGATTATTATTTTTTTCTCAGGATTTCTAACTCAACTTTTAAATAAGGTAAATTTGTTATTTATCATTTGAATCAATAATTATTACTTCTTTAAAAAAAAAAAATTACGTTACAGATTCAGTACACGCATAATTGGTATTAAAACCTCTATGATAGATATAAGAGCATACGAAAAGTTGAATTTGATCATAAGTAACCCTTCTAAACTCTTATTTATCCATTCACGAAGAGCCAACTTTACAATGCTTAATGCAAGTGCACCGCACTCTTTTAGTAATTGGTACGGAAGATTCGGAAAAGAGACGGGGCAGGCACCTAAATGCCTAAGTCAAAAAGTTAAAAACAAAGCACACGCTGATGAGAAGTTCCCACACTTGATAGTTAATAATTGATACTCAATGACTAGAGGGAATAAAGAACCCATCCACTTCACTCGCATTGCACGGATCCTTATTTGCCTCTCACCTGTACGGCCGCCAAATGTAGCTAGTCATAGCAACTCTCTTACCTCAATAACCAATATCACGGGAGTTTGTGTAAAGAACCTTGGGATACAACACTTCAAAAGTTAGCTCAAAGGGTGGGAGTATCCAAGTTCTTATAAACTCCACATTAGTTGTTCATATAATTAATGTGAGACTATATATTTCAAAAGAGACTAGACTACTTGTTGATTAAAATTTTACCATTTTTATGTACAATCTTTCTCATACTTCTTCTCATTAAATTCGGCAAGAATCTCATTCTTCGAATCAAATTTATTTATAGATTGAAGTGATGGCAAATAACAATTTTTAGCTTGTAAAAAAATTATGTCTCTTATAGACCAAATTTAACAAGCATTTTGCCGGCGCAAGTGTGCAACTGTTACCCCATAGTATTAGCCATGTTGGCATTGTTTATATATGCTGAGCTCCATTGATATATTTAATTCATGGAACAGTGGCGTGTAGATAGAACGGAATGTAACATTCTATTCTGTTTTTTTTTTTTTCCTTCTTTTTTCACCTCTTTCTGTAAAATTAAAAAAGAGAGGTTATATTTATAAATTTTTTCGTTTAAAATTTCTTAAAATTAAATTTTAATTATTAATTTTTGTTAATTTGATAGTTATAATTTATTGAGAATTAATAATTAATTAATATGTGTGATCCAATAAATTATAACCGTCAGATTGTCGAAAAACAACAATTAAAATTTGGTGATAAGATGTCGTAAATGAAAAAGATTATAAATATAATCTTTCTCTATTTTTTAATCTCATCTGTTATTTTATTCTATTTTTAAAATATACAAAAAGATGCATAAAGTAAAATTTATATATTATGTTTCATTAGTTATGGCTGTAACACATACACTACTTTAAAGAAGGAATTGCAGCTGAAGAAAAAAAAAAAAAAAAAAGGTAAAATGCCATGTAGTGTCATCGGAGCCATGTCAGTGGTGTGATCTTCCCTATTAAAACCTCTAATGGGTTATCGCGGCCATGGCCGACGGCGGTGACGGCGGCGGCGCAGAAACAATTGCAGCGGCTTTGGGGGACACAATACCGACGGGGACATGGGTTTCCTCGTAGAGGAACTTGTGGAGGATCCTGCGACTCTTTGAGAATACGTGATCCTCCCAAGCCTCCTCTGCTTCCTCACGTGTACCCTTGAGGAAGGACTCGGTGGCGTCGAGGCGGTGCATATTCCGTTTCCAGATATTGTAAAGGCGATGAATCTTCTGAAGCTGGCGATTGGCGAGGCTGCAGTTATTGATTTTGATCCTGGCAATGGCAGCGTCAAGGAGCCTCTTCTTTGTTCCTTCATCAGCTTCATCTTCAGTTCTGAGAAACTCATCAAATTCAGGGACACCAACGGCTCTTCTTATCCCTTTTGTGTAATCATGGGATGGGTCAAAAAATTGACGAACCTCATCAATCTGACCAGCCTCAATCATGCGATCCACACGTGCTGAGAGAGAGGAATGGAGGACAGGGAGTGAGACATCGACCCAGAGAAAACAACACTCGTACCTTAACCGAAACTCAGGTTGATGGTTGACCAATGCATCGATGAAAGAGTTGGACCCACCAGCAATGATGGGAAGTGCATCCCTCCCCACGATGGAACCTATGGACAGAGAGGCTTGGTGACAAAAGTCATTGGCAGTGAAATCAGAGTTAGGATCAACCATGCCTAACAGATGGTGTGGGACCCCACGACACTCTTCATCTGTGACCTTGTTTGTGGTGATGTCAAGGCCTTTATAAACTTGCATTTTGTCACAGTTGACAATCTCAGCTGGTGGGAAATGGGTGGCTAGGTCTATGGCCAGCTTCGATTTCCCGCTACCCGTTGCGCCCATGATGACAACAACCTTATCCTTACGTTGGTGGAACAAGGACAGCTCCATGGTGAGTGCCGGTTGGAAACTTACTAGGGGCTTGCAGGCAGAAGCAGCTGCTGACAATCCCGAAATAATATTCATTCTCTTCTCTCTTAAACTGAACCTGCCAAGTTGACCAAAATTAAAACATTTCTTTATTTACTTGTGTTAGCAATTGTACTAGCAAAACCAGCTCATACGGGTATTATTAATTTATAACACCTAATTACAAATTGAAAACTGGAGAGAATCTAGCAAGGGGGAAAGTATAATGGATCACGGAAAATGAGCTTAATTTGCAAGCAATGTCATGTATATGAATGATGATCATAAGGAGAAAATACGACCAAAACATATATAGATCGATCTTAATGACAAGGGAATTTTTTTTTTTTTTACAATAGCAAGGTCCGCATGATTCTATAGACCACCATATTTATTCATATGCGGACGTACCTTTAATGTAAAAACACGCGGCGAGCGGTAGAATATTTGCAAAGTAGGGGGGTCTAGCTAGCTAGCTAGGTAGATAGTTAGTTATAGTTTAATTAGAGAAGAGAAGATGTGAAGTGGGTGGGGGAAAGAGTATGATGAATATGACTTGGTATTATGGAAAAAAGGAGAATTTGTGGGAAGAAAAGGAACTTTATTTGAAAGGAAGCTCCTGGAAAATTAATGATTGCAGGGGAAGAGACGGAGAATTTGTGAGTAACTGGAGAGTTTATGGTGTGGCAAATGCAAACCACGCTATTTATACTCAGACTTGTATGGCCCATTTGCTTTGTCCGTCCTTCTCCTCCAGAATTTTTAAAAATAATGATAATAATATTTCGGAGTTTAAGGGTTTTGTTATAAGAAATTAATTTTATTTCATTAAATTATTTTATCAGTTCATTAATTTATTTCATTCACTTATTATAGAAAATTAAAAAAATGTAACAATTTAAAAAATGAAAATGAGGGTTGCCTTTAGGTATAAAGGATTAATATTTTGGAATAGACTAAATATAATAAAAATATTAGAAAAAATAACTTAACGGTGTTAAAAAATATTAATAAAAAAGATGTTTATATTATTTTTTGTTTAAGCCTTTCCATATTTATTTCTTAACAAATGTTCTTCTGGAATTGTTAGAGAAACTAAAAAAATATGAGTTTGTATTAAGAAATAAAAATGATATTTATTAATTTTTTATTATATTTATTTAAATAATATACAAAAATTCGAAAAATAAATAATTTTGTCAATAAATACATTATAGTATTGATCCATTAACATTTCATATTTAATTACTTAATTAAAAAATATTTCTCAAATTATCACTACAATAAATATTTAAATTTTATTTAAAATTTTCTATTTTCTTGCTTAATCAATACACGAGTATTCATTAGTAATTCCCAAGGATAAAAATAAGTAAATGAGTACTTACGTTCTATTGATTACATACTATTGATTAAATATAAGTAACATAAGAAAAATTGTTTTATAATATTTTATTTATTATTTTGAAAAATTAATAAACTATTAATTATTTTTAATTACCTATGTTAAATAAAATGAAAGAAATGTTAATGAAATAATATTACTTTAAGTATTTTGCTAAATGATAATGTAGTTAAACACAGTTATATATTTTGTAAATAAAAAAGTTCTAAGGTATTTAATGGTTAATTTAAATTTAATTCCCCACCAAAAAACATTAATTGAATAATATTTTAATTTTAATCTAATGACTAGCTTGTATAGTTATGCAACTTATATATTATGTTTTTATTACTTTGAACTTGAGACTTTCATAGGATATAATTAAGTGTTTCTTATAATTGAGCATATCGAAAAAATTAATTCTCATATAGTTTTTTTAGAATATAAATATTTCAAAATATACCAAGTAATGATTAATATATTTTTCACTCGTACAAAATTTATATACTTTATTACAATCGCTTTGAGTTAAACCATTACTCCTTTTGTTTCTCTTTATTTAATATTTTTTAAAATTGTTTAAATTGTATCTGTTATTCTTAAAATATAAATAAATATTTATTAAATTTTACCTTTTATTTTTAGGTTTTTAATAAATGAAATAAAAATATTTATTGAATATTAAATTTTTAAATATTTTAAATAAAATATAATGTAATATATATAATTATATTTTTCTCCAATTGATGATTTTTTTTGTTATTCTTAAAAAGTAAATATAATTAAAGACTTGAAAGAATAAAAAAAATTATTCTTCTGTAATCGTTATTACACTATTTTCAAACTGATTAATCACTTATTTATTTATAATTAATCATTTAACAAGCTAAGAAGCATTGGTGGAGCCAGCCTCCCAACTTAGCTACAGTCAAGAAAAATTTAACTGATGTCAAATACCAAAATGTGAAAAAAAAGTTAACCATATTTTACTTTCAAAATTAGGGCCAATGTATCCTTCCACCCGATTATTCATGTAACTAGCTTAATTATTTCACATATTGCGTTATTGATACCAGTTGGCTTACGATAAAATTCCCCTATTACTTTTTTTTTTCTGTCGTGTCGTGCTAAATTGATTTTTGATATGACAACGTATTCTCGTTGATTACTGACTACTTGACGAGACAATTGCTTTTTTTTTTTTATTATTATTATTATTACTACAAAGAGGAATCAAGAAAACCAAGAAAAAAAAATCAGTGAGCTCCGTTAACCTCCGGCCACGAGGCACCGACAAGAAGTTTCTTATCAACATACAAATTATTCTAGTAAAATTTTTGAGATTTTCTTTTTTTATGTTATAGATACAATAAATAATGAAGCCTGTCATTTATTTAAAAAAATATCATGAATTTTGATATCTCACAACATAAGAATGTTATTTCTTATTGCATGAGAAAATAATTATTCAAAATTTGTTGGATTAAATTTTTTTTTACTACCGTGAATTTCTAACTTTACAATAAATGCAATATTTTTTTAAAGAATTTTGAAATTCAAAAGATTATGTCACACCACAAGTGTTAAAAAAAATACAAATTATGTATACCACAAGTGCCATACATTTTTAAAATATAAATTTTTCAATTCCAATCATTGTATTTAAAAAAAAATACAAACCATTCAAGTTTTTTTTTTTTATACCAACTCCAATTACCTTTTTAGGAGAATAAGTTATCCTTCACAAGTTTTGGCTCTTTGAGCCAGCTATGAGATTAATCTCAACTGCGGGATAAGTCAAGGATTAAGGTTTTATGCCCCTAGCATATAAAATCATTTGGGATTAAATCTCATAACTGGCTCAAAATGCGAAGTTTGTAAAGATACCGGGAAATTCTACTCGCCTTAGAGATAATTAAGATTAGTATAAAATAAATAAAGCAATAGAAACTTGAACAAATTTGTTGTACCAAAAAAAAAAAAAAAAACTTGAACAATTTGTATTTCACTACTAAAAAAGCATGGATTAGAGACAGAAAAATTCCATCACTAAGTGAAATATTTCCGTCACTAAGTAAATTAGTGACGGAATTAGAAACGGACAAAAATCCGTTACATTATGGCTCGTCACTAACAAATGGAGACAGAATTATGAATTTGTCTCTAATAGAGACGAATTTTAGGACGGAACAAATCCGTCTCTATCTGAGACGGAAAAAATTATGTCACTATTAGAGACAAAAATATTTCCCTCCCCGATAGTGATGGATAAATCTGTCTCTATGATATTATTTTCTGTCACTAATTTATGCACGTGAACTATGTGTAATCCGTTCCTATTAGAGACGGAAGTTGTTAGGGACGGAAGTTGTTCGTCTCCTTTAGTGATGGATTTTTTCCCTCTCTGTTAGTGACAAACAATTTTCTGTCTTTGTTAGTGATGGATAATTTTCATCTCTGTTAGTGACGAATATTTTTCCTTTCTATTTGCAATGGATATTTTTCCCTCTCTGTTAGTGATGGATTGTTTTTGTCTCTGTTTGTGAGGGAAATTTTTTTCTCTATTAGTAATATATTGTTTCTATCTCTATTAATGACAATGTTTTCCAACCCAATTGGTGACATATATTTCTGTCTTTATTTTTTTCCCTAATATTTGAATTTTTTTCAAAATCAATTACATTGAAAATTTAATTTTTACCGAAAACTAATATTAATTATAATCTAATATTCTTATAGGAAATTCAACTGACACAAAATATAAAGTAGTCATACTAAATGAAAATAAAGATCAAATCAAATCCAACCATTGCAATACAATAAGTTTTTACGTGAATTCATAAAAAATAACAAAATGTATGAGATAACAAGCAATATTCACAAATGAAGATAAGAAAAGGAAATATGCATACTATCAATTATCATCATGCAACTGAGCATCCCTATAATCATCATAATCATCACTATGTGCATCTAGTGCCGGAGTAGTAGTAATGGAGGTGCGCACATCTCCTCCTAAACGAGCCATCAACATCGCCAGTTGCTCTTTCATAATTGCACTACAAGAAATTTGTTTATTAGTGTCGCAAATTTCGTCACTACATATGAAGTTTCGTCACAAATGCCTGTGTCGCAAATTTATTTGTGACGAAATTTGATTATTTGTGTCGAAAATTATCATCTGTGACAAAATTTGTGACAAATTTTTTTGTCACAAATAAACTTTTTTCTTGTAGTGTTGCCATCTCTCGGTCTGTTTTCTCTTTCATAATTGCCATCTCTTGGTCTGTTTTCTTTTTCATAACAGTCATTTGTTTTTTCCGTCTCAGATAGAGACGGATTTGTTCCGTCCTAAAATTCGTCTCTATTAGAGACAAATTCATAATTCTGTCTCCATCTGTTAGTGACGAGCCATAATGTAACGGATTTTTGTCCGTTTCTAATTCCGTCACTAATTTACTGAGTGACGGAAATATTTCACTTAGTGATGGAATTTTTCTGTCTCTAATCCATGCTTTTTTAGTAGTAAGCTTATACAACATAATCTCTTAATACATCAAAATGATGTATAACTTAATCCGGCCTAAGGGTGAGGGATAAGGTCTGATAAGATATTGATGTATTAACATCGTTGATCAATGTAATTCTCAAAATTTAATATATTATTTTAATA